CTCATCTGGCCTTCGTTCATTAGTGTTCAAAGCCTCAAACCTGTTCCTGAGATGGTTCTGAAATTCAGGTGGGATAGACTCAAAGTCATATTTTGGTCGCCTTGGATTTGGTTTAATTTCCCTCAACTTCAGCTTGAATTTGCATATGGGTAGTTGGTGGTCTGTTCCACAATCAGCTCCTGGCCTAGTTATCACAGCTGATATTGAGCTTCTCCAGCAGTTCTTTCCATAGATGTAACCGATCTGATTTCTATGCATACCATCAGGTGAAATCCAGGCATATAACCTGCGTTTATGTCTTTTAAAAAATGTATTTGCTGTGAATAAGTCATTGATCGTGCAAAATTCGATCATTCTCTCTCCAGCTCCATTTCTGTCACCGAGTCCAAGTTTTCCAACTACTGAATCTTCTTCTTTGTTCCCGACTTTTGCATTCCAGTCACCCATTATTATCAATGAATCTTGATTGCATGTTCGATCAATCTCCGATTGTAAAAGTTGGTAAACATCTTCTATCTCCTCTTCCTTGGCTCTGGTTGTTGGTGCATATATTTGAATGATAGTGGTATTCACTGGACTTCTTGTATGCGCATAGATATTATCCTGTCACTGACAGTATTGTACTTCAAGAGGGATCTAGCAATGACTTTTTTAACTATGAAAGCAACTCCGTTTTTCCTCACCTTTTCATATCCAGAGTAATATATCATATCATCTGACTCAAAATGCCCCATGCCAGTCCATCTCATCTCACCAATGCCTAGTATGTCAATATTTATGCGTTCCATTTCTTCCTTAACAAGATATAATTTTCCTACATTCATGGTTCTCACATTCCATGTCCAATTCACCAGTGTCTGCTTACAACTGTTCCTCTTCCTTTGTATTTCCATACTTGAAAACTCAACCTCCTTTGCCTTTTCTGTTATCTAAATGTGTTCTGTTGTACATAGGGTTTTCAGAGGCCTGCTATTTCAAAAGTGGATGGCCAGTCCTTCTTCCTAGTCTGTCTTAATGTGAATGTTCAGATTTAGAGAAGTATCAGACAGACCAGAAAGTTAAAGGTATATCCCTTCTTGCGGAGTTAACTTTAGTGTCAGTGTTGTCCCTGCCTTTCTCACACATGTCTTTTTTTTTTTTTTTCCGGTAAACTTTCATTTAAGTGTTAATAAAAAATTTTAAAACATTAAAAAGAAATATTTTCTTGACAAGAAAAAGTACTATTAAACTTGAGAGCTGTTGTTGTTGTTTTCATGAGCCATCGAGTCGCCTGCAACTCATAGTGACCCTATGTACAACAGCCCGAAACCATACTCTATCCTGTGCTAATCTTAATGTCTCTGACACACCTACTTCCACCACCCAAGTCACTGAAACAATTCATATCATCAAAGGTCTTCCTCTCTTGTACTGTCTCTCCACCCTCCCAAGCATGATGTCCCTCTCCGAGGACTGGTCCCTCATCGCAACATGTTCAAAGTATGTCAGACGAAGCTTCAGAATCCTTGCCTCCAAGAAACAGCCTGGTTTCACCCTCTCCAGGGTAAACCTGTTTATTCTTCTAGCAGTCCGTGCTATATTCAATATTCTTCTCCAGCACTACAGCTCAAAGGCATCAATTCTCCTTCTG